GCAACAGACCTCACCCAATCTGTGTGGCCCTTCAGCTCAGCCTCCACCTCACCTGTCATCACATTCCAAATTTGGACTGTTTTGTCATGTGATCCAGAGACAACTCAGCTGCCATCCTGCGAGAATGCAACAGAATTCACTGAATATGTGTGGCCCTTCAGCTCAGCCTCCACCTCGCCTGTGGTTACATTCCAAATTCGGACTGTTTTGTCTTCTGATCCAGAGACAACTCGGCTGCCATCCTGCGAGAATGCGACAGACTTCACCCCACCTGTGTGGCCCTTCAGCTCAGCCTCCACCTCACCTGTCATCACATTCCAAATTCGGACCATTTTGTCTTTTGATCCAGAGACAACTCGGCTGCCATCCTGTGAGAATGTGACAGAGTTCACGCAATCTGTGTGGCCCTTCAGCTCAGCCTCCACCTCACCTGTCATCACATTCCAAATTCGGACCATTTTGTCATCTGATCCAGAGACAACTCGGCTGCCATCCTGTGAGAATGTGACAGAGTTCACCCAATCTGTGTGGCCCTTCAGCTCAGCCTCCACCTCACCTGTCATCACATTCCAAATTCGGACCATTTTGTCATCTGATCCAGAGACAACTCGGCTGCCATCCTGTGAGAATGCGACAGAGTTCACCCAATCTGTGTGGCCCTTCAGCTCAGCCTCCACCTCACCTGTCATCACATTCCAAATTCGGACAGTGTCGTCATACAATCCAGAGACAACTCGGCTGCCATCTTGTGAGAATCTGACAGATAGTACCCATGACCCATTTTGCATAATCAGCTCTGCAGGGTCCCACAAGTCTGATAATCCAAGAGTCACTTTTGGAACTCTGCTGACATTGGCAGTGTAGGTCTTGCGTATCGATGAATTCTGTGGAATCCAAATAAGTGCAGACTCATAGATCTCCATGCAATGTTTCTGGACAGCTTCAAAGTTCATTTGTAAACACCAGGGGGCATCATAAACAAGTAACTGAAAGTCATGGAATTTGAAGGCCTGTCAATCAGAATATTATTAGACTCACAATGTTTTATCCTTCATTATGGCAAATAACTTACCAATAAAACAGTGATTACACCACCCAGGGATTTCAGTCCTGTTTGCAGCTCACCCAGTATGCTGAGACACTCTATCCAGTGCAAAAGATGCTTGTGCAGAAAAATGCGAAGAGCGTCAACAAGTATAGGGTCAAATTTCTTGACCTCTGCTAAATGAGCAGCCCAATAGGTGCATGAGTATTTGAGCACTTCAGAAATTTTGCCAATGCTCTCTGGAGAGTTGGCCCTGTCTCTGCGCGACAATGTCAATTGTTTGGGGACTTCACATATGTTGTACTTCAGTGAGTTGTTCATCAGCATTAAACATTTAAGAGCAATCAGTGTATGACCCTCAGAAGCAACCAGCGAAGGGAATGATGGGCAACGCTCAGGAGAACACCGGACTGGATTGGTAATGAAGTCAGGAAATGAGGCATGGAATGGAGCGACCACAGCCCCAGGTTGGTCAGGAATGTGAATAACAGAGGTGAGCCATGACAAGTACAACTGCACGTCACTTTCCGGTGATAGAGATGTGATGGCTTCCATCAACAATGGATTTTGAAGGAATATGGTGATGGACAAGACATTTCTCATATCTTCAACTTCATCCAGCTCCTTGTCTTCACAGACCTTTTCCAATACATGAACATAGAGAGAATCGATCTCAGTTTCAAACTTGTTGATGGATTTCTGGCCATGGCTCAGCATTGCGGAAAGACGGCGCTTATAGTCCCCACCGCCGTTGGTGATATAATGAATGGCAGTGGCTGCGTAAATGAAGAGCCTGCCGGAACTTGTGACAAGACTGGACAGTTCATCATTCTTGATGCCGGCTAATGATGTCCTGAGATATATCCGGATATCGTTCTGGACTACATCCTTCTCAATGTCATGGAGATAGAAGTACCCTCGAATGCTATCACTAGTAGACCTGAAGGCAGTGCGAATCCGATTCTCAACTCGGCTGGCTAGGAATATCTTGAGCGGAATTTTTGACGCCCATTCAAGAACAAGTTTAATGAACAGCGCGACAACTTCAAGGTTGGCACATTCATCAGCGGCATCAATAACGACAACTTTATCCACCACGACCGGGCCGATGGTCGTTCGAACAGGATTATAAACCAGCTGCTTGAACTGCTCCTTCATGTTAGAATAGGTTGGTTCCGCCAGAGTAGGGTCGTCCTCAATGGCCTTGACAACCTCAACTTTGATAGCAGGTGAAGCTCTAGCCAGCGAATGTGCAATAACAGGAATAATAAGGCGTGCGTTCCTAGTTTTCTCCGATGCTCGAGAAGCAAAGAAACTGCCGCCAAGAATGTTTTTCGCCTCGAGATGCTCACAGAACATGTGCGCGATGGTCGATTTTCCGATTCCCGCCATACCTACCATCCAATACACCCTGCTGCTATTGGCGTCCGAGGCCCAAGTGTCCAATTGTTCGAGGACCTTTACGCGGGTTCCTTGCATGCAGCCGGTGGGGTCGCCGTAAGACGACTGTCGAGTTTTATATGATGTCATTTCGTGATTGAGTTTTTCGATGGAATCTGTGGGTATATAAGCGCCACGAAGCTTAGAGCTATGTTCCGTTGGGAATGTTTATCTCACCTTGACACCGATGTTCATGAACCTCAATCTTGACAACAATTTCAATCAATATTTCAAACCATCCATGCTGGGTTACCGGACACACCTTTTGAGCATCATAGAAATTGGAATCCCTTATAACAAAGTTGTGCGTGCCCTGCATTACATTCTGGGATTCCCGAAGGCAAAGGAAATGAGCGAATGAATTTGTTTGCACATTTTAAACACACCAGCGAGGTACCCTCTCCCGTAACTTCAGGCGCCCTTGTAGACGTCAAGCTAGATCTCGTTGGCAGGATGCCATCTGCGGGCGCGGGCATGGGCGTAATGAACTCCAATTTCAAACCGCCAGGGCGTTCATCATGGGGGTGATTCGCGTCCATGAGGCGATCAGGCAGTTTCTTGGCCTTTCCTTTCAAACGATTTTTGCGGGGGCGATTACGATCAGACATCGTGGTTCAGAAGAGAGTGTTGATGCTGTGCGGCGTCAATTTGCACAATGGGTCACTGACTTGCTTGAATGTCATGTGACCCTGTGAAGCGGCCCACTAGGAAGCGACTCGAAGTGCCAGAAAAAACGGTGCCAGTCAATGGAGAAATGCGAGAAAGGGAAAACAACGCCTTTCAACGCTCAAGGGGACGAAGAGACTACATTTTATTTCTGATGTTCACAAGGGCAGCAGATCAGCTATGGAGATACCACCAGAAACCTGTAACGAACAAAGACGAGCACACATAGATGGAGGTCTTTATTGTCCCCCACTGATTCCTGCAGGATTCCTGAGGATTCCTGAGGATTCCTGAGGATTCCTGAGGATTCCTGAGGATTACCAGGACTCTATATTGGCTGATGTGCCAGCCAATTTTTTGAGTCCTGTGGGGGTCCATTCCTGAGGACTGAAGACAGTCCTCAGGATTTTCGGACAGGACTAGTCCCAGGAATGATGCATTTGATGAGTCACATGACCCATGAGCATGTGCTTGGATACATCATGTGATGTGATGCATCACGTGCACATATTTGTTGATGATAGTTCTCATATGTGACACGTCACGTCACCTCTCTCTTTCCTCTCCACCCACAACCTCGCCCACCACGACCACCACGACCACCACGCAACAAACAACGACGACGACGACGACGACATCGACGGACGACGACACCGACGACGACGACAACGACAACGATGGTGGTGCCCAACAAACGGCGCCA